ACAGAACTCAAATGAACCAATTGCAGAAAGGAAGTTTTGAAAACGGGTAAGTACAACCCTAGGAGTAAAATGGTCTTTTTACATATATATATATATATATATATATATATATAGGTGCTTCAGTGTACACCATTGAAAAGACAACGAAAAATTAATAAAGTTAGACTCAAGAATCGTTTGATTCGAAGTCCGGATGACAAAGATATGGAATTTGAAGTTTTGAAATAAAGTTGAAAATGAAATGCTCCTAGGCGATCCATCGCAACCATCTACGATGGATCGCAGCACCTGCGAAGGATGATAAAAAGGCCTTGCGATGGATCACCGGAATTTGGCGATGGATCGCCGAATTCTGTGATCTATCGTGGATTGTATAAATAGCAGGCTGCACCAAAAAAAGTACGGCTACGAGTGTTTTTCGGTGCCAAAACGGATTTTTTTGAAAAAAAAGTTGTAAAGTAACCCCCTTTAAAATGTGATTTTCTACACAACCATGTCAAAACCAAATCTTATTTTTCACATAAAATACCCAAAATGCCCTTATGCACAAACTTTGCAAAAACATAAACATGCTTACAACCAAAAGTATACATTGCATAAAATTAAAGTGTTTGGCCCTTGGCCTTAAGTCATACATATAAAAAGAGTCTTGAAGAGTGTACTTACGCACACTTTACATATCCAAAAATAAAAACGACATGTCAAAACCTAGCTATGCGTTACAACTTCGACAAGGAAATTTAAACATGCTAACACTTGTATGTATGCAAAATTACACAAAAGTACACCCAAGCTACCAAGCCAAATTAGGGATGTTGTGCATCCCAAAACAAGGTCTCCTTACCTGAAAATATCCCAAACAATTAGGGTGAGTAAACAAGTTACTCGTAGGAGATGAGTATGCGTATATCCTATAGTTTCAATGGCCTTTGCATGCATAATATAAACCGTATTCAAATTGATCATGCTTTATAACGTCTACATTTTAAGGGTGAGCTAAGGCAACATCCTATACTATGATTAAAACATATTGAAAGCAATCCACTATAGGTATAAAAATCAAATAAAATGGGATAATCCATGATATACAACAAGTTATAACCCTAAGTTATATCAACTTGTAAAATAAATGCGAAATCATACTAAGTGGAAAACTTAGAAGCGGCTTCCGGTATGAGCTCAACAACACAAGTCAAGGTTATGAACTCACACCATAAGACAATAAAAGTTGTTTTAGGGCATTAACCCCCAAGGAATTACCTAAGTGAGCACTATATTGTAGGGAGAACTCATATCTCCCGTACTAGGGTCAAACCCTAGCCATGTCACGTTTTCTTTGCCCTAAGTATATCCAAAATCAATAAGTTGTCATAACAATCACAAGTGTAACAATGAAATTTAAACAACTTCCATGCACAACCAACAATGATAATCACACATAGCCATGCTCTAACTCTCAAGGCTACAATGGCATGTAAATGACAAGTTATAATGCAATAATAATTATACTACAACAAGGTTACTAGACAAGGGATTTCATCCACATAACATAGTAAACCTAAAACCCTAAATACATACAACAACATAGTATATATTCTATAACAAAATCAAGACAAAAATATGCTAGAATTTCATAAGTACAAGACATGAAATACTACAACAAGGTTACTAAACAAGGAATTTCATCTCCATAACATAGTAAACCTAGAACCCTAGATACACATTACAATATAGTATATGTTTTCAACACAAAATCAAGGCAAGGAAAATACTAGAATTTCACAAGTACAAAACAAGAAATCTCTAGATTATTTTCTTTACATAAAATGAAACTACAACTATATGTAAGTTCAACCATACACAAGTCTCATGCAAAGTGAAACCCTAGGTTAGATAAAAGTCAAATTCCATCAATATACAACCCTAAAATATCACTAATCATGCATACAACTTATATTAACTACAAAGAGCACATAATACACATAGAATATAAACATAATCAATCCCCTACCTCACTAGAGAATAAAATCTCTAGAATCCAAGAAAAAGGTAAGCAAATGGTGAATCCAGGAACAAGGTAAGCAAGAGGAGGAAGAAGGGAAGGTTTTGTCTTTCAAGACCTAAGCTTAAAAGTGAAGGGAAGATGCTCAAAAACCAACAATGGAGGTTAGGGTTTCAAGAAGCATAAATGGAGGCAAGGTGAGAGAAAAGTGAGGAAAAAGAAAGAGTTAGTGGAGAATGGTGTATTCCTCCACTAACTAAAGCACTTTGTGCTAGCACTACCTTTCTCTCTCTCTCTCTATCTCACACACACACACACATCTCACCCCTCCACTTGTCACCAAGCTAGGTTTCCCCACAAGATCACATCCTAGGCCTACACTTGTCACCATCTTAGGCCTCCCCTCAAGGCTTAATCCTAGCCTTACACTTGCCCTCATCCTAAGCCAACAAATTTACCAATCATAGGCCACCAAGTGGGTGAATCCTCACCCTCCGCATGTCATCATCCAAGGCTACCAAGTGTCAACACTACAAGCCGACAAATGGACCAATGAGAGCGCGACACTAGTCACACTTTCCAGAAATTGCAAAAAGGTCCCTCCTCAAAATATCTCACAAAATAAATTACAAAATGGTCCCTAAGACAAATATATCAAGAAAATTAAATTACGCAAAGCACCACATAAAGTGAAAATGTTTCCGAAAAAACTATGAACCCATACCCTTACGGAAAAAGTAAACAAGTAACATACTTTTCTACAAAAGTAAGACTATACATTTCATAGAAATCAAGTTAAGTGGATGCACATGAAGTCAAAGATCAAATCCGAGTTCAAAACCGAACTCAAAATCCTACCTTGAGTCTCCAAAACCCTAAGGTAATGCAGAAAATGAATAAATCAAATAAAAAAAAAATTACTGAAAATCGAAAAAGAAAGAAATGACAGAGTCATTACATAAAGTCTTAAGGTCAACACTTTTGACCTGGATTAATCAAATCTGTCACCAAGTGAACATTACAATTCAATGGAGCTCTTCAAGGCACAAGAGCCTTATAAAGATTCGGCAGCCAAGGGTCACACACACCTATATATATATATATACACACACACACACACACACACACACACACATATGTATATATATTTGAGTATATTTAAAGGATTTTTGTAATTTGAATTCATTCATATTTTGTATTAGAGTTAATTGCAATGACACCCCTTGAGATTTGCATTAATTACAGCCATATACAAGTTAACCTCTTTTTGAACAATGACACCCCTTGTTAGTTTTATATCAAATTTTGCCAGTGAAATGTCTACATTGCCCTTCAATATTTAATGAATATGTGTGAGAAAATATTAGAATTGTAAAATGACTAAAATGCCCATCTTAGAAAACCTAACCACCACAACTCTCTCTGTCGTTTCTCTCTCTAACCTTTCAACTCCTCTATCACCTTTCTAACCCCTACAGATCTCACCTCTCTTATGTAACCCTAGCCTTATTTTCAACCGACATAATCTCTTTATACATTAACCCTTAGATCATGACAAACCCTCTCAAAATCTGACTGACTGACGACGACGACCAGCACCACCGACCATCGTCGACGATCAAATTGGCAGCGATGATCTTAACGTCTTAGCCAAGGTGATCATGGCTTTGGTGTTGTAAAGATCATGGTCGGGGACTGGCTGGCTGAAGACGAAGTTGTCGGGGATGAAGACCTGGTCGTACGGTCCAGATCAGACGCTTTCCACATCATGTGCTCTGCGCACAACCACGTGATCCACCGAAATCGATCCCATGCTCTGCGCACACCACCTCCCAGAACTTGGTTCCGATGGCGATTGCGACGGGCTGAAGTGGCGGCAGCGGTGATGGATTGAATCGGCGCGTAGATGATGGATTGAATCGGCCCGTAGAAGAACTGCGGCTGAAGTGGCGGCAGTGTTCGACGATGACGTCGTCGTCAATAACAGCGGCGGGGAATTTGTGGCAGTCGGCCGGGAATCGTCGCAGTCCATGGTGATCTGCGTTTTCTTCTCCGATCACAGCCGCCGCCGCCACAACACCACCGCTGCCTCCACTAGATCCATCTCCTCCTCCAACCACAACCCCCGCCGCCGCCACAACACCACTATCACCTCCACACACGACTTTACCCACTTCCGCAATCACCATCGTGAAAATCAGATTGGAGAAGGTTGTTGATTCATACGGAAGTGGGGCAACTGGACCGTACTTACCATCATGCCAACACCACTGCTAGTCAATGTTGCCAGAGCATCGTCACCGTTGCTGGAGCCCGAGAGAGAGAGAGTTGCAGAAGTATATGGGCTTCTCGTTGAAAGGATAGAGTTTAGGCTTTATTAACTAATCGTTTGATATGGATGAATTGCTTAGAGTAAGTGAATGTAAGTCACCGAGCTCGGCAATGACAGTTCCGGTGAATTTAGCATCTGAAATAATGAGTCTTGAATCAACGGAGATAAATTCAAATTCAATGGAAGTTGTAAAGGGACTGATTAGATATTGATTTTGGACTTGGTGGGTGGAGAAAGATAGGGAAGATGAGGGTATTTTTGTCCTAAAATGGCATTTTGATACATTTTCTTATTTTAATTAAAAAATTAGGATAATTCAAAGTCAAAGGATAATAACGTCATTTTAACTTGTGTCAGAGCTAGTAAGAGTGTTTTTGTTAAGTTTATGAAATCTGAAAGGGGCCTCATTGTTCAAAAAAAGGTTAACTTGTATATGACTGTAATTAAGGCAAATTTTAGAAAGTGTTATTGTAATTAATCCTTTGTATTAACATGCATTAAAAAAAAATGAAGTAAAATGGTCAAATCGCTTATCTCACTTTAAAATATTGGGGTGTAAGTGAAAGTTAAAAATATTTATTCACGTAAGATTTGATCTAATATGAAGGGGCCTGTGTAACAAAGGTCATTACAGTATTATTTACCCTATTATTTATTTTATTTCCACAGAACAAACTGCAAATGCAGACAGTTCTGCTTGATGCTCTCTCTCTCACTCTCTCTTTCTCACTCCATCTACAGCTGTAGTCTGCCAACTCCAATCCAAACCCTAAACCTTCAAACAATGAAACCTTTCTCTCTCAAACACTAACCCTAAATGGCACCAAAGAGAAGCTTCGTCCCTATCTTCCTCCTCCTTTCTTTCTCCGCTCTCATCCTTTTTTCTCTCCACCAATCCTCTCTCCCCATCTCCTCCTCCTCCTCCTCCTCGAACTCCTTAGATCACTCTTCCCCAACCTTCAATGCTCTTCCAAATCGTCAACCCAACACGCCCAATTTCACTCTCACCATCAAAGTCCTCGCCTTCGACCGCCTCGCTTCTCTCTCCCGCTGTCTTCTTTCCCTTGGCAACGCCGATTACGTTAATGACAGGGTCAATCTTCATATATTCATCGACCACTTCAAAGATCTGGATTCGAGCGATAATGGGTCTGTGAATTTGGACCTGAAATTGAATGAATCGCGTGAAATTTTGGATTTTGTTGATGGGTTTTCTTGGAAATTCGGTGAAAAGATGGTGCATTATCGAACCGGGAATGTTGGGTTACAGGCGCAGTGGTTGGAAGCGTGGTGGCCCAGTTCGGATGACGAGTTTGCGTTTGTTGTAGAAGATGATTTGGAGGTTTCACCGTTGTATTACAGATTTATTAGGGCTTTGATTGTTACTTATTACTATAATGCTTCGAATTTTAGTCCTTCGATTTATGGAGCATCACTGCAGCGACCAAGGTTTGTCCCAGGTATCATTACTTGATTTAGATTAATGTCTTACCCTATGTTTGATTTCTGAAAAATGTAGGAACGGCTAAATTCTTACTATTTTGACCGTTGATCTTTTTCATTGCATATGTCCTAAGAAAACTTGAACTACCATTGAGACTAACATGACTTTTTGGTTTTGTTCTGTGATGTTTTCTTGTTCCAGCAACTGAAACATGATGAAAAATAAAAAATAAAGTTTAGGTTTATGTTTTTTTGTGTTTCGTTTGGTTTATAGGCTAGCAGCAGGGGAAATAACTGAAACATGATGAAAAATAAAAAATAAAGTTTAGCTCTATGTTTTTTTGTGTTTCGTTTGGTTTATAGAATTTACTGCTTTTTATGTGATTTGCTACCTCCACTTTTACAATACTAGTATAATTTACTTTGAAGTTTTCGCCAATCACAACTTTGTTTGGATATTGTATCTTGACTTGGAAAGAAAGAATGGTGTTGCTGATCAAAGATGCTTTTGGAATTTTTCAAAAATGTTTGAGGGTTCAAACCTAACAGTTTGAGGGGAATACAGTGTGGTGAAAGTTTAGTTTCACTATCTGTTGCTGTCATTTGGGTGCTACTTCAGTATCATAGGAGAATCTCATGTTTCTCTAAGTTGAAAGTCCTGGTAATCACTTTCAAATTCTTCACTACCGAGGAAAGAGAAGTATAAGTCTATTTAGAGTAAGGGCTGCTATGATGTAAGATAGTTGTCGAATTCAAAGAAGTTGAATTTTCTATTTAATTAAGGGGTGGGAAGAGTAAATTAGTTGAATGGTATGTTAAAAGTCTGAAATAAGTGTGATATATATATATATATATATATATATATATATATATATATAGTTAAATATTGTATGAATCAGCAAATAGCTTGATTAAAGTTTAAACCACAACAATGTAGTGCTTAGTATGCTCCAGATTCAGAACTTGAACTTTGATAAGAGATTCTCCTGGAAGGTGAAATGCGTTATGGATGATTATTTAAATAGATAAAAATATTGGTAAGAGAAACAATAAGATACATATTTTGATGGCACACTAGAAAGTGTACATTGTTTCAAAAATGTGACATGAGGAACCCTAGCCTGGAACTCGTCATATTATGTTCTAAGTTTACCTTGATGATTCCAAGTTGATACTTGACTTGTCCTGCAAACTTGTTCTCTAGTGGTTTGGCTAAACTTCTCTCTAATGGAAGATCCTTCGACAATTTGGGATTCACTGGTTAGTGGAGGGATGAGGATGACTTTGTTTTTGTTTTGGGGAAGTTAAAGCAAACACACACACACCCATTATTCACAAAATGTCCCTAGTGGGACTTGAACTCTCAACCTCTCCCTTTAGAGAGAAGAGATTGTACCATTGGGCTAGAGGCCCTTTGGTAGGATGACTTATGGTTGTTTGGCTATCTTTATGACATGGAATGTAAAAAGAGCCTCCTGAAGACCTGGAAAAGATGTTATCATTTAGACCTGGAATGAATTTCTATGACTAATGAAGTGCTAGTAACTTAGTAGGTGATTGCAGAACCTGGCATTGCACAATTCAGCATTCCATGTGAGTGGGAATATATGTGCTGACTGCTGAACCCAAATAAGGACATAAGTGGAGAGCATAAGAAGGGAACTTTTTTCTGTTCAAGTTATGTGGAAGTAGGAAAAGTAATTCAGCTAATAAGTACTTTGTTTCTGATCAGTACATGTGGTTCATTTTAGAAGTTGGATATAATGAAGAAAGCAACTTGATTGAGACGAGTGAAATTTAAAAGAGAAGTATGCTTCTGGCCGAAATTTGCCATTAGTTAGGCATTCTCATTAACTTTTGGATTTGAAAGAATTCCAGTGGATTTCAGATAGTATTTGCTCCTCCTCTAGCCTTAGACCCCTACAGGTTGACCCTATATTATGAAGGAAAAAAAAAAGTTACTAATTTGAGGTATTTTGTGATGATTAGTATACCTTTTTATTCTCTTTGATGACATCATTTTCAAATTGAAAAAAGATGACAGGGTTCAGAACTATTTCTATACCTATCTTAACTTCAATTTCCACTTCCAGACCTTAGGAATAGTCATATGTGTCATGATGTAATCTAGTTAATTAAGAGCAATGATCAAGTATCTTTAGCATCGAATACTATATGATAGTACCTGTGACCTAAGTAGGCATGTCAAACTACCGTCTCCATTGGAACTCTAATCTGATGCATTTTCCAGTGAGGAGTGCTAATAGATGGGAAATAAAATAATCCAAAAAAAAAAGTTGCAAATTTGAGGTATTTTGTGTTGATTAGTATTCCTTTTTATTCTCTTTGATGACATCATTTTCAAATTGAAAAAAGATGACAGGGTTCAGAACTATTTCTATACCTATCTTAACTTCAATTTCCAATTCCAGACCTTAGGAATAGCCATATGTGTCATGACGTTATCTAGTTATCAAGTATCTTTAGCATCGAATACTATATGATAGTACCTGTGACCTAAGTAGGCATGCCAAACTACCGTCTCCATTGGAACTCTAATCTGATGTATTTTCCAGTGAGGAGTGCTAATAGATGGAAAATAATCTGACTTATTAGGCAAATTGCAATCCACATCTCATTATCAGTATTCTTTGGAATTCTTTACAGTTCCTGAATAATAGAAAATTCCGGACATTGGTTGATCACTTAGTAGATTTGTTTTGCTCTCTTCTCAAGTGGAATATGCCTACCAGAAGTCATTTCTTATGTGAAAATAATTATATATTCTTCACATCCTATTACTCTATTTATGTGAAAATTCTTGCACTTTTCAACTTCTGTTATGTTTTTTAGGCCTAAAATCTCTCATTCCAAGCTAGTTTTCTTTACCAGGCATCCAAGTTGTTGTCAATGTAAAGAACGTTCTTGAGGCATGCTTGTTAAACAGTCATCTTTTGCTTTTGTGTCCCTTCTTTCTCAAAAGACTAATGCAATTATATTTTTCTGAAAATTTGTTAACTTAAATGATCAATAGCCGCGCCCAATACTATTGGCAAGGCTGGGGTAGGCATGTTATTACCTAACTGCAGCCATGTTCCGTCAGCTTTCATCTATCATAGTCCAACTGATTAAATTGGTTGCTGACTGCAGGTAAACATGGAAACAAAATTCAATTGGATAGCGGAACACAACTTTTCTTGTACCAGCTGGTTGGCACTTGGGGTCAGCTTCTGTTTCCAAGACCTTGGAAAGAGTTTCGTTTGTGGTATGACACACACAAGGGCAAGGGCATCAAGCCATATCTTCAGGGGATGGTAACTTATTTTCCCACTTTACTCTTAGCCTTCCCTTTCCTCTCATCACTTTTTTCTTCTTCATCACTTTTTTCTTCTTATTGTGGGTTTATTGGTAACTATGGTACATGAGCTCCGCTATGTTTATCAGGTGAAAGATGAGTTAAACTGTCAGATCACCTTGAATTTCAAATGTATTCAAAAGTCGGATATTATACTTAGACATGTTGTGCACATTTGAAATCATTATATGTTAGATAGTAGTGTAATCAATGATATTAATTATTTAAAGATATATTTAATTAGAATCTAAGTTAAATAGAATGTAGAGAAGGAAGAAGATTTCATTTGACTCTGAAGTAAGGAAACCCTTCCTTACTATCAAATTTGACTTTTTTAACGTAACACAGATTGGAAATCAATGCTTGATCATATATTTGAATTCAGTTTGTTAGTTATTACTCTTACTTAAGAACTGTATTCTGTTTTCAGGTGACAACAGGATGGTACAAAAAGATGGGGGAGAGAATATGGACTCCTTGGTTCATAAAATTTATTCAATCTCATGGGTATTTTAATATATATACCAATTTTTTACATGAGAGAGCTCTCAGTGTTTCTCATAGGGATGCTGGCGTTAACTATGGAAAAACAGCAGGGCCAGATTCATATTTACTGGATGACAGTTCTCTTGATTTCAACCTTGTAGAAATGCAGCCATTGAATAATCTAAAGTGGTATGATTTTTGTTTCAGAGAAGTACTTCCTGATAGGGTTGTAAGGAGTTTCGATGAACTTGGCTCTGTTCTTCACTCTGTGCAGAAATTGGGGACTATTATACTCGTGAGCCTTCATAACACATCAGAGCCTGCCACGAGGAATATGCTCTGCCACTTTGAGAGGCTAAATATTCGAAACTATATCTTCGTGGGCCCAAAATCTAATTTTCAACTTGATCTTGCAAGAAGGGGGCATCCTGTGATCGATGTGGACCAATTTTTTGAGAGTATCAGGGCTCACAAGTCAATAGGTTTCCCAGAATCCACTTTGGAGCTGATCAAGATGATTTTAGTGAAGACCTATGTAATTAAAAAGTCTTTAGACCTTAATTATAATACCTGGGTGCTGGATGGGAACATGCTTCCAGTCAGCAATGATTCATTTCTTGATTCCATTCATAGCAGCTATGATTTCTATGTTGGGAAGATCTCTGAACTTCTATTTGTCAGGAGATCATCACTTGCTTGGAAGATTTGGGTTCACGATTTCATGGGCAAGGTTGCAAAGATGGCAGACTCTTCGATAAGTGAAGAATCATTTTTGAGGGATGGCAGGAATTTTGTGTATATGGTGGCGAATCTTTTGGAACAAAAGGGTGTGAAAATTAAGGGGGTTGATGATATGAGCTTTGATGTGAATGCTGATACCGATAATGTTAATGAAACCTTTCTGGTAGACGGAAAGAAGATGGTCTTCTGGTCTTATCAGATGGGTGTTGATGTAATTCAGAAACGACTTGAAAAATTAGGTATGTGGATTGTAGATGGTGACTTTTCTTGTACTGCTGTTGTTTGTTACCAGTCATAACATTTGGTGGCAATTGTAATTTTTAGCCACTGATTGATGAGTTATTTTATTTACAATTTTCTGCCAAACATCACCTATTTTTTGGCACCTCTGGTGTGCTCAGAGCCTGTAGTAATATAAAACTACTAGTTTATTTTTAAGGTATTTAGTAAAACAGTTTTTAAACTTTTGGGGTTCTACTTTTCTTGGAAGTTAAAGGGAGTGTGTGTTCTAGTTCTTTCTGCTAATGGAAGCAAATTTTGGGGGAGAAAAATTAAGAAGTTGTGGAAGACACTATTCCAATCCCATCATCAAAGTGTCTATCCCATGGTGGCTTTCTTCCCTGTGAAATTCCAAGTGTCTTCCAATTTAGTTGCTCTCTCTTAATGCTTTACTTCCCAGTCTTTGCACTGTAGATCTTCTCATACTTGGTTGTAAATCCGGGCACGAAATTGTAGCTGTCATTTTGCTGCAGTTGCAAAACCTCCGGGTACGAGTAATAATAGAAGGGGGCCTCTCACCCTTCACAACCAATTTGGAGCGACCAAGTTGCATCCCTCCTTTCTTCCTTCCTCTCTTCGTGACAAACAAGGGATAGCATCTTCCTTCCTTCCTTCCTTCTCTCTGTCAACAGAACATTACATTCACCTTAGAAATTCTGTATTTCATTTCATCCTTTTTGCAAATTCTTTTGGTTCACTGTATTTTTTAATGATTTCAATTGATGTGAAACCAAAATTGGATCCTTTTCATTACATTGTATGTTGAGCAGTGCCTTTGATCCCAGATTGCAGATCAAAACAGTAAATGGTAGACTGAATGAAAGGAAGAAAAAAACAAGGAACAATGCAATAAGCTGCTAAAATTTGAATGTAATGCAATGCAAGGTTATTTGAGTCGTGTGTGGCAAAATAAAATATTTATTCAAAACGCTGGTTATAATGTGTCAACTATCATGAGTCAACACGTATTATATCATAATACATTTGTGTGTCATGGTACATTGTGTTCCGTTGGTGAGTCGCTCCTACATTCTTTAGCCGAATGGCATTACCTTATAACAATAGGTCCCTTGTTCGGTGACGAAGAATGTCTTTTCTTCGTCCGCTGGGTTCATCGTAATCTAGTTGTAGCCCGAATAAGCATCGAGAAAAGTCAGCCTTTCATATCCGGTTGTAGCGTTTACCATTTGGTCGATCTTTGGGAGTGGAAAATTGTCCTTTGAGCAGGCTTTATTCAGGTTACAATCATAAGAAATTGGAGATGAGGATCAACGAACAGACGACAATCTTTCAAGTTCAATCACACATCTAGGTTCAAGTAAAGATGAAACCATTTATGACTTTGATATGGTATTTAAAAGCCTCAAAACGTTGTTTTAATTATGTTTCTCAAAATCAGGGTTTTCATCTTAAGATCTCAAAAATGAAATTTTGAGCATGGGATTGTTACGAAAACGGTAGTTTGATCAAATATTTGATCAATAGAAACCTGGACATAAGCTCCTCACGAATGAAAGCTTGATCGAAGCAAGCAAAACTAGAGTCATGTGATCGGAGATTCAATATATTCTGTTTTCTCAATTATCCATCATTGTATAAAGAATTCAACTTCAGAGTGATGATTGTCTTAATAAGATTCTTCAAGCCACAAATCCAAATCCAATCCCTCTATTCTCTCCCCAACTACAAAAGCATGCATCTGGTCACCAATCTGAACCCAACTGCATCCAGGATTCTTTTTCGCACCCCTTGACTTCATCAAGTCTCGAATTCTATCTGCCTCTTCCCATCTCCCTGCTTCTGCATACATGTTAGAAAGAAGTATGTAGTATCCACAGTGCTCCGGCTTCAGCTTAAAAAGATGCTCTGCTGCCCAACAACCCAACTCTATATTGCCATAGATTCGGCATGCCCCTAGCAGGGCACCCCAAATATTTGCATCAGGCACGATTGGCAGGCTTTTAATAAGCTCTGCTGCCTCTTCTACAAGACCAGATCGGCCAAGAAGATCAACCATGCAAGCATAATGCATCTGTGTGGGCTTAATTCCCTGAGCACACATCTGATCAAAATAATTCCTTCCCTTCTCTACTAACCCTCCATGACTGCAAGCTGAAAGAACTGCAATATATGATACCGAATCATAATCAACGCCATCCTCACGCATGGCTTCAAAGAAATTGATTGCAGTATCCAGTTCACCTAGCATTCCAAAACCCAAAATCATAGCGTTCCACGAGGCTACATCCTTCTTAGGGATCTGATCAAAAACCTTCACAGCAAGATCAATTCGTCCACATTTGGTATAAAGGTCCAAAAGTGAGTTCGCAACAAAGAGATGCGTATGGAACATCTTTCTCACTAAAAATCCATGGATCTCCTTTCCTTGCTTAATTGCTGCAAGATTTGCGCAAGCTGAAAGTACTCCCACAAAGGAAACAGTATCATGCTTCATCCCCATCATCCCCATTTCTGAAAATAGAGTTAAAGAATTTGAGCAATCACTCATTTGGGAGTAGCCAACTATTAGTATATTGTAAGATATATTGTCTCTGAGGGAGATGTCAAATACATTTTGAGCAAAGTTTAGACGTCCACATTTTGCATACATGTCTGCTAAAGCATTTGAGACGAATAAATCAAAGGCAGATCCTGTTCGGATTGACTGTGCATGGATTTCCTTTCCCCTGCTAAGAGAACCAATTCGTGCGCAAGCAGGAAGAACATTTGTCAAGGTCACAGAGTTGGGAATTTCACCATGAGTTTGCATTTGTCGAACTGTTCCTATAGCTGCAGACTCGAGACTATTTTGAGCAAAATTAGCGATCATGGAGTTCCACGAAACAATATTTCTTGTATTCATCTTGTGAAACACTATGGAAGCTTTGGTTGATTGCCCTGATTTTGCATACATATCAATCAATGAATTGGAAACGAAAATGTCAGTTTCCATACTCATTCTTATACTAAAACCGTGAAGTTCTTTTCCCACAGTAAAACGTTCTAATTCAACCAATACTGGCAGCATACTAGAAATGGTGATAGAGTTCGGTCTCACCCCTGCATCAATCATCATTTTAAGCATATCCAATGCTTCTCTGTTATGCTCTGTATGAGCAAAACTAGTAATGATAGAATTCCAAGAAACCTCATTCTTCTCAACCATTTCATTAAAAACTTTCTTCAAAGCCCTGACGTTCCCGCATTTTCCATATGCATCAACCAAAGCATTTCCAATAGTCACTTGAGCATCCAAACCAACCTTCACAACATAACAATGAATCCTGCTTGCCGTTACCTCATCCTCAAGCTCCGCGCACACCGGCAACACACTCACCACGGTTACAGAATTTGGCATAAATCCAGACCTCAATTTCATCTCCCAAAACAAATCAAGAGCCTTGCCATAACACCCATTAACCGAATAAACCCCCACAATCGTATTCCACGACACGACGTCCCTCTCAATCATTTCATCAAACACCCTTCCTGCATCCTTCAAACCACCACAACCACCATAAAACAACAAAAGGGTATTACCCACAAACACATCAGAATCAAAACCCAATTTGAACACCAACCCATGAACCTCTCTACCCTTTCGAAACTCCGAATAATCAGAACACATCTTGAGAACAAAAGGGAACGTATGATCATCAAGCTCGACACCATTCCTAACCATCCCATTGTAAATTTCGAACCTGTCATGAACTCCACCAATGGAATAAGCTCGAATGAGAGTGTTCCACAAGAAGGCAGTGCGGCAAAAGGGGACGGTGTGTTCGAAGAGGATGCGAGAAGCTGTTGGGTCTCCGAAGGTGGCGTAGCGGAGAATGAGAGAGGCACAGACAGAGACACTGTGAGGAAGTAGACCATTGACAAGAGCAATGGCGTGGGCTTGTTTTGTTTGTCGGAGAGATTGTGTGGAGGAGCAGAGTGGGAGTACATTGGAGTGACTCTGAATTGTTGATGTGGGATGATGAGTCCATTCTGTGGTGGTTGTGGTTGTGGAGAGACAGAGGTTTTGAGTCTGGGCTTGTTTGCATTTGTAGGCAAATGTGGAAGCTAAGCGAAGAGTACGAGCATGGTAGAACATAGAAAGATGGCGGTGTTGGCTTGGTGTTTGAAAACACTATTGTCACAAATATATATATATATATATATATAAGTGTGTGTGACTGTGTGTAATAGTGTAATACACACACATAAACAAACACATGCAATGAGCCTTTGAAGTTTGGCAAGATGTAATAAAATGAGAAAAGACAAATTTCAAAGTAATTGTGGTAAAATTGCACACTATAAGATGACGAAAAACACCTTCAAGCTCTTATTTCAAATGATAAAGCCAACACACACTTTTGCCCATGTTTTGATTTCATCACTTCACGAACGAATTATCTTCCAGCAAAGACTATTGGTGGGAACTCCATAACAATTTATTGATCTGAATTTGAGTTGAGCTCAATGAATTAAGGAGGATCAAAATGTATTTGTTTGCTTTTATCTCATGAATCAATCTCGAGCTAGTTTAGCACTCAGCTCATGAAAATTCACTATTATTTCGAATTAATTGCCGGATAATAGGGGATAGAAAGGAAGCAATACATGAAAGTGCAGCACACACCACAGAATCTGAAGGAGTTCATCACAAGAAAGCAGCTAAACCATACAGAAATATTACCAAAACTAAACAGAGTAAAAGGAGAAAAAGTGTAGCCTAATCTGCCGATAACACATTCTTCAGAAATAGTACTCGGTGGAAAAAGAAAACACAGATATCTTCGCAATCTCAAACTGAATTCTGCTTACCTGCAACTTGGTGAACAAGATAAAAGCAATCCGAAATTAGTGCACACGTGTAAAATTTTGATCGGCAAACAAGAGCTCCAACTCGGAAATGGAATCATGGCCTGCGCCAGACTGCTCTAAGAGAAGCCACTGCAGATGGCATGGGCACAAAACCTGTCCCTTGTGTCATGCTTTCAGACTCCATCAAGGCTATACTAACCACTCCATTAGTTTCTTACCGAATGCTCTCACTGTTATGAAGACAGCCGGAAACCTCACTATGTAAGGAGAATCTCAATGAATGTGGCCAATGTCAGTCCCATTTGGGGTCAAAATTACCTGCTGGCTGCTTATCTCACTCAAAGAAGAGTAATTCACAGGAAATTTCTCCAACCACCTATAAAGCCGCAAGATAGCAAGAAAATTTATACAAAGCAGTTGCAATGCTAATGGTAAGTCTTACCAATCAGAACTTTGTGTGCAAGTGCTGCCTAGTTGCACTCAACACAATATTGAGTTTCATAAGGATTTATGTAATTGTAAAAAAAAAAAAAAAAAAAAAAATGAAAAAGATAAGGTACAATCGTCATAAGGCACCTCCATCAATATATTCTGTATCCAAGCTTGGATGAACCCCAGGTCTCCCAAGACTTGGCCAACCAATTTAAATGAACAAGCCAAGGCAACTGACATCTAAATTAGCAAATCAAACCAAAGGGGGGAAAGGTGAAAAAATGTATTTGCATTTCTACCATGTGAGTCTGTCCAAACTAATTTTGACATTTACAAACATGTACAAATTTCCAGGTAAAACACAGCATTCTAACTGTGACCACGCAAGCATTTCAACAACCATAGTTTTCTTAACCTCTCATTCAATTTCATGAACATCATTGCCCTCTTGTCATCGAAAGAAAGAAATTCACATGCCTCAATAATGAGATCATCATCAAAACCTGGGATATTCTTCACCATTGCAAACAGTTCATCCAAGCACAATGACTGGTGGCTTCCTGTCAAAGCATCAGCAATCCTACCAATATTTGCAGCCAGGGCACTCATCATTTCTACCAGAACATCGTTATAACGTCTCTTCTTAGAGGGCTCTTCGGAATGTGATGATGTAGAAGGCCTACCTTTAGTTCGCTGGGATGAACCTTGTGTCCTATCACCAGTATTATCCACACTCCTTTCTTCATCAACCAACATATTCTGCAATGGGGTTTCTACATGCTGTTCACTGTTGGAAATGGGATTTAAATCACCTTTGGCACCACTTGTAAACCAGCAGCCTTTTGCATGATTGTCGTCAATGATAGCACTCAATTCATTATAATTCTCAATGGATCTTGCCCGTAAAGATTTTGCATCAGGATGCATCTGTGGAATACATAACAAGTTAATTTAGTAAAGTGCAACTGAAGACCACTACAAAGGATGAAACAACTTTAAGGATAAATCACTTCCATGTTCCACAAATTCGTCTATACACTAAAATATCACAACTTTTAATGGATCTCTAAGGCCACGTCTACTCTACGGAATGGAATAAAATGGCAATTCTAGCTCTTCATTCTTTTTGAATGCCTATTCAACCCCTCTCCATGGAGTGATGGATGGCCATTACATTCCATCATTAGGGGAAAGAAAAAAAAAATCAACAGATCAACCACATAACAAAGGCCTCTCTCTGATCTATTAAAAAGGTCCCGCTTGTATCACTCATGTCAAGTTAATTTGGATAGGGTTTGATATATATGGTAACAGCCGTTACTCTAACTCAAACATCAAACCATTAATTAAATGGGTTGAAAAGCTCAAAACATAACCCGGGCCACGTAAAATTACATCAACCAAGATACAACCCTTCTAGCCTTCAACTCAACAAAGCCTTTTTTCCCAACTACTTGTGATGGAGAACCGGGCCTGGCCCGAGAGACGTGGAGATGTGGGAAAGAAAGATAGAATTAGGGATTTTGCTTTTATAATTATCATTGAATTTTAGGGTTTTATTTATGGTAATAGGAATTTTAGGGTTTTTCTTCGAGGCCTATTTATATGTTGGTTTAGACATTGTGAAAGACAGCTTTGATGATTGATTATTGATTATTATTCAGAAATTATTGTGTTTCTTCTCCCTCAATTCTGATTTCTCCCTCTGTGATACTTCTCTTCTCCCTCATTCTGATTTCTTCCCCTATTAGTCTTATTCTATATCTCTCTCAATCTCTTTCTTAACCTCTTTCTTATTTACTTGAAATTCTGGTTTTTGAATCGCCCCTACCCACCTGATGCATCAACTTGGGGTTGGCTACATGAATCCTATTTTTTCATTCTGCTCCTTAGTCAAACCACATGTTATTATATCCTTCATGTTACCATACTCAGGTAAGTGTACCCCATGCGGGTATGAGTCTAAGTGTGGGACCTACTTGAATTCCAAAAATTAGGTATGGGGATGTGTACCCAAAAGTTTGATATGGGTATGTAGAGGCGTACTATGCATTTAAATACATTATATGATTATTATAGTGTAATGTTTAGTGTTGCAATAACATAAAAATATACTCAATTATTACTCAAATTAAATGGAAAGTGATAAAAGAAAAGGATTTCCTTATATTTAATAGATGAGAATCTCATGTCTACTACTGAATTTGAGTTTCTTTTTCCTTCTTCAATCATGCCATGTGAAGGATCAGGGTGTCCAATTTGGGTTCGTGTGTAAAACACATATCCTATAGAACATGACATACCCATGGAATGTTGTGTCGACACAGGTACGTGAAAGGAAATAGGAGAGTCCAAAGAAAGATATCATTCCTCACTAATTCTACTTGCGCTAACCTTGGCCATTCCCTTCGCCCTCCATTAACTTCAACATGGACCATGTTACTCTTCCTAATTGGCGCATTTAATTGTCTTCTTTGCACATGTAAACCATCTTAATCGAATTCTCTCATTTTATCTCCAATTATCGCCACTTCAGCTACTCACAAATATGTTCATTTGTAATTCTATCCTTTCTTGTCCTTCCGCACATTTATCCCAAGATTCTCAGGCTTTCTAGCATTATTTATGGATAATATTTTTCAGAAAAAGTCAATATAAACTGTATCACAGAATTTATTTAAAATGATTTATAATAAAAATCATGGTTAGGAAATATGATATTTGCACTCCAGAGAAGCAAGCTCACGCTATACTTGTTGCTTAAAAAGGAAAATTGCACAATTAACCTTAAAAGGATTCTCACACTCCACAATAGTTTCAAAAGGAAGTCTTACACTCCACCTTTATCAATTCCCTTTATTTAAATAATCATGCAGTGTGATACCACTTTTCGGGAGTCAATATAACTTCTCATTATAATTTGAATAATATCATAATAGTATCACAAAGCCATAAAAACTAGTCAAGTTAAAGTATAAAAAAATTGTAATAAATATTTATATTGTATTCATAAATATACATGTCTGACCTATTTAAATAAAAGGATCCCTAATGCCTAATGACAAGTTGGTCATTTGAGTTAAAAATTTCCATTCAAATCCACGTGAGCTTTAATCTGCCTTTCTCTTCCACCTTGCATCTCTTGAATTATATCTTAAACAAACTCAAATCATTCCAATATCCCTTCGTTACTTATTTGCATATCCCTCGCAATCCCCTGCCCCCGCAACCCCCCCCCCCCCCCCCCCCCCCCCCCCCGGTCAAAACCCCCCACAGAAAAAAGGAGCCAATTCAACCCATAAATCTATTCAGCTTAATTTTACCAAAACCCTATAACAGATGAAGGTATTTTAAATATAAGAAAAAGTATGAATTCCATTGTATTTTAACATATAAATCAATTTAACCAACACATGGGAATATTAATACTCATTCCATTACTACATTATTACCAAACAATGGAACAAGAATGACCATTCTTCTTGCGTCATTTTCATTCCATTTCTTCCATGTCGCATTCCATTCATGCTTTATATTATTCCTGTGAACCAAACATAAGGTAAAATCCATTTTCTTATTGTTAATCAGATTTGTGAAGGTGAAAAAAAATATTTAGACGTTTCGTTCATTAAATTTACCAATTTCAATTGTAGATGTGAAATGCAATTTACTTCCTTTTTCTGATAAGTAATAATAACATAAAAAAGGCGTTCAAAAGGGGAACGCGTCCCTTATACAGAAGTGGAACCAGGACTAAGGCCCCAAAGAATTTCCTCAGGTTATGTTAAGGATGATGCTAAAGAATAATGGAAGGTAGACTTGGGACATTCAGCTTGAGCGTAAGTAGCAGGATTTGGAGGTGGAGGAGGTTGTGGAGCTATTGGCTTTATTTGTATGATCAGCATGTGGAAGGGGAAGGGGGATGATGAGTGGCATTGGATGGGAGCTACACATGGGGCCTTCAAGATGAGGTCATTTTTATCGGAGTTCAATGGAGCCACTGGGCCTTTCACTCCCTTGCAAGTTTATTTGGCATACTAAAGCCCCTCTCAAGGTGACTATTTTTGGTTGGACTCCTTTTGCATTGTCCGGTGTCTAGAGACATTCGGTCTATCACTTTCCCTATATTCGGTATCCACTGGTTTTCACAGAATTGCACGAGAAGCATGCTCGAGGCTTGAAGAGGTTGTATAGTGGGTGCTCAGATCCGAGATGCTTGGAGAGTTCACCTCCTTTGTTTATGGTGGGGGTTGTAGAGAGAGGAATAGGAGACCTTTGAAGGGGAAGAAGCTCCAATTGAAGCGCTAAAATATTCTATTTTGAGTTCTTTATTTTTTTAGGTTAAAAGGGCGTCATTGAAAATCCATGGAGGATATGGTAGAGTTTGTGGATAATTTGAGAGCTTAGCAGTTTTTTGGCATTTTTAAAGTTGTGCATAGGCGTGCTCCCCATTTGAGCGTTCTAATATACTTAAATTGTCGACACACTCACAAAAAAATAAAAACAAAAAAAGAAGAAGAAGAAGAAGAAGAAGAAACAAAAGAATAATTTATTTTAAACTCAAGACCATGAAGATAATTGCATAGTTAGTTAATGTAGTAAAAAATAAAATAAAAAATCCTTATGTAGTCATGAAAAGGACGACTCCTAGAAGAGGATTCCAGAGGCAACCAATCCAATTTTTAATATACTTCACTTGTCAAAAAAAAAAAAAAAAAAAAAAAAAGAAGAAAGAAGAAAGAAAGGAAATAAAGAAAAAAGCATTTTAAAAACACATGAAATAATTGCATAGTTAGCTAATGTAGTTAAATATATATATATATATATATATATATATGTATATATATATCCTTGTGTAGTCATGAAATGGACTCCTCCTTGAAGAGGATTCCAGAGACAATCATGCCAATTTTTAAAGACATAAAATGTACCTTAATGTACTCATTCCACACTGAGTCAGGTGCAACAACCATCTTTTGTTCCTCATTCCACTCGAATCCTCAATGAGAGAGGAGCTCCTTCACAAGTCCGTATAATTTCTTCCATGTTTTCAATCGGCTCTTAATGTTCTCTTTTGTTACATTGAGTGCAAAATTTTCATTTAAAACGGTAAGAGCAGCTGCGAATGATACAGGCTTAAATTTTTTCTCAAGCTTATTCCCCTGCTTCAATTGATCAACAAGAATCTCTGTTAAGCAACGGTCCATCTCATCCGTCCATATGATGTACTTCACTCTCTCTTTTGCATTGTCACTTCGATTCTGATATACAATTTCAGTCTCCACATCTTCATTCTCAGTATCCCAGTCTAAGTCAGCTTCAGAATCATTTGTAGAACTCTCAGTTGGATTAAAGTTCTCAATGATATAACATAACTCATCATAGTTTTCTATGACCTGTCCTTGAAGAAGCCTCGCATCAGGATGCATCTGTTTGACAAGAGAGAGATTAACATACAAAAATTAATTAAAAGAAAAGGATCAGCATGCGAATTATAAATAAGTTACCCTTTGAATAAGTCATCGTACTAACAAAAAAGAAGTCAAGGGTACCTTAATGTAGTAATCCCATACAGCATCATTTGCAATCACCATCTTTTGTTTCTCATCCCAATGAAACTCATTCTGATCAAGGAGCTTCTTCACACTGCTGTATAATTTCCTCCATGCTTTAATTCGATTTTTAACATGGTCTTTTGTGAAGTTGAGCTGAAACCTTTCACGTAAAGCCGATACGGCAGCAACATATGCTGCAGGCTTAAATTTGTTACTCGATTTTCTTTTTTTTCCGAGATTCACTTGCTCTAAAAGAATCATGCTGAGGCACCGGTCCATTTCACTTGTCCATCTCATGTTCATAGCTTGGTATTGAAAACCGTCATAACACTGAATTGGAGAAACATTAGGGTCTGTTTGTTATGTGTTTTACTTTGGTGTTTTTGTTGCAGGGCTCAATTTCAGGCCCAAAAACATGTTTGGTAGCCCTTGTTATGTTTTAAACAGTACAAAAATATTGTTTTAAACAGTACACAATTTTGGCCCAAAACTGAAACACCGAAATGGTGTTTTTGTTGTTTCTGAACTGTAGCCCAATAAAAAGAACTGTAGCACTTGAAGTAAGTTGGGTCTTGAACTGTAGCGGAGGAAGTAACTTTAAAACGTCGTCTGCAACACTTTGGCCCGATCTTTTCTCTTTCCTCTGAAACCTAGAGAAGGCGATTTGGGAGGCGAAAGGGAATCTGAAACCCTAGAGAAGGCGATTTGGGAGGCGAAGGGGAATCGCAAGCACTAAGTCTTTGAAAAGCACAAAATCGGAAGCACGAACTGTGGTGAGTACTCTCTCTTCTAACACTCTGTCTTCGATTTAGTTGTGAAACAAGAAGACTGCGCTTCTCATGTAAGAGTGCTTGACACAGTCAATGTTAGAAAAACTGGTTAACTCTTGCTTGTTCAATTTGAATCAAAGACAATTAATTTAGGATTTTCAGCAAAATTGATGAACAGAAATGAAGCTAAAATCGAACATACGTGTGGAATTTCCAAATATGTGATGAACAATGAAAGGGGTAAACAATTGCTCAAGCAATTATAGGCTTCATTCAGAATAAAATTCTGTTGTGTACCCATCTTAGGATACACTAATTTGCAATCTACTAGAGCTGGCAGGAAAACTAATTTTTTATTTTTTAATCTACTATTCTCAGCTCAACTAATTCTTCTTTGGAGTCAGTTATGTTTTTATCATTATTCTTTGTTCCACATGTGTCCTAAATATTTCAACCCATATTAATTATGGGTTTTTACCAGTAGCACTACCTTCAATGTGGATTGTGCCACTCTTCCTAATTGGTGCACTAAGGGGTCTTTACCGTACATGTTTAAAACCATCATAATTGGTTTCACTAATTTTATCTCTGATTTGCTCTACTTGTACCACCTCAAGAGTGTTTCTGTCTAAATCAACATTAGTATTTGGATTATGCTCATTTTATGATCACATTGTTTCTTAACTACCTAACACTTGGGTCCGTAGAAAGCATGACTGGTCTTATTATTTTCAACTTTATGGGTATAAGTTGGTTACAAAGCACACCAAAAGCACTCCACGTTGCTCATAGCGTCTTAACTTCATTAGCAACATTCTCCCTCTAGTTTTGTATGATCAAACTTTGGTAGTAAAAATTGTTCCCTTTTTGGTTCTTTCTTGCTCTTCAATCTCACTATTTTCCCCATGTATTTTGCTAGAAATTACACATCACACACTCAATTTAGTCCAACTTTTATTGATGTCTCTTGATTTCAGAGCTTCTCTCAGGACTTCTAATTTGGCATTTGCCTTATTCTAATCTTATCAGTTAAAAACAATATCACTGAAAAAAAAAGCACACATTTGAACCTTATAGTGGATCCGTCACACACTCAATTTTGTCCAACTTGTATTGGTTCCTCTTGATTTCAGAGCTTCTCTCAGGACTTCTAATTTGGCATTTACCTTATTCTAGTCTTATCAGTTAAAAACAATATCACTGAAAAAAAGCACACATTAGAACCTTATATTGGATCCGTCCATTTCATTCATTAACAAATATGTGAAAATGATAAAAATATAATGCTAATCTTTATGTAAACCATAGTGAGTGAGAATTTACTCGACTCTCATGTAGTTGTTCTTACTATACTAATCCATCATAAATATCTTACATCATGTGAATATATTTAATTGCAACGCTGACCCTCCTCCCCCCAAGCTACATAATATCTCGAGGAATCTTAGAATAGCCTTTCTCTGAGTCTTAAAACAGTGCATGGGGATCATTGTATTCTCTTTACACCTTTCTATTAATCTTCTGTTTGTATTGAAATTTTAAATCCTGTAGCCAAGCTAGTATTTTACCACTGTTTGTTTCATGTCTAATTCATTACTCGATAAACATCTCCCTAAGACTCATTTGTTTATACAGTGCAGATTTTTATATCTACTTTTTACTTATTATTATTTTTTATATGAGTCCTGAAATACTCTTTTATCACACATCAGATTGTAATACCCCCTAATTTCGGAACACGGGTTGATCAAGTCCGCGCACAAAATCAGGGGATATCAAACCAATTAAAGTATTTAAACAAGCACGGAGTACAAAATGAAATAAAGAATAAAATAAAACGCTGAAGAAATCCAATTAATAGTAAATCCATTAATAACTTCCAAATGGTTACAACTCGGGAATCCCGTAACGCAAGGACCCCTTAACCAAAAGTTACTATTTAGAATTTCAACCAAATAAGTACTAATATCAACTGAAACAAAACTAATATCCTACTTTTAAGTAAATAGAAGGAATGGATAAGTCCTCCAGCTGCGGATCCTCAACCTTGAGACTTGACCTTCTACAACCTGAAAAATAAATCGCGGGTTAAACCCTACGAGCAAGTTCTCTCTACCAAGTCTCTGAAAACCAATAAACAGATCATCTTTACCAAAACCATCCCTAATTAAGCTTTAACTTTAATATACGATGCTACAAATATATATAAATACTTATATATATAGTGCAAGAATCCTACTAGTTAATAGGGCATTAAATTGTCAAAACCACTCACCAATAATTAATTATCAGACATACCTAGACCAAGCCCCCCCTTTATAATATTCTCATAAAGTAAACCCCACTCACCTTAACTCCATCCTAAACAGTAATTTAGTCATCTAAACATATAGCAATTTAAATATGCACCAGTAAATCAACCATGCCTTTTATAAATATATTTATTTATATATTAGCAATTCAACCATGCTTCCTTCCGTATATTTACTTTTGCAATTAATTAGCAATTCAACCATGCTTCCCATATATGAAATTTAGTCATAACCAATAAGGCAGTATATCAAAACCTTTGGCAACTCATCCATGCCTACAATTCAACCATGTACTAACTTTAAACTTATAGACTTCACATGCATATAATAAGCATGTCCTTAATTTAATAACCGTGTATCTATTACGATTTTAAATCAACCATACCATCCACGAATCAAGTCATACCAAACAAGATTTATAATATTTAATAATCTTAAATAATATATATACACATATATTTTATAATATATATATATATGTGTGTATCACACATTCCATACCAATCGTTGACTATTTAAAATCATATCTACATATATATATACATATATACACCTCCTTTCATTGCAAAAATATTTATTTAAGTGTATTTATACCACTAAATGCTACTAGGTATCTTAGTAACACTCTGAGGCTCTCAGAACATCAAGAACACACCCTCTAATGATTAATTTTAACCCTAACACGCTTAAGATAAATACTGAAAATTCACCGGAGTCTCAAACAACTTTCCAGGACCTCATACGCATCCCCACGCGCCTCCACGCGCCACCACATACCCCTAGACTACTCCCACGCGCCTTCACGCGCTTCCCCTTACCGGCAGGCGCGTCCACGCACCTGCACGCGCCCTCACGCGCCTGAGCCACTCTCGGCGCGTGTGTGGCTTGTTCCTATTGGCCAGCCTTCTGCGTTCTAGTGTATTTGCTTGCACTGGATCATTTTCCTGTTGACTGGACCACATCTATGGTCCAGATTTAATGCGCACATAAATTTTATACAACCGCGACACACTGAATCATCCTACACCCATTATCTTCATCTAACGGCCCAACCTAGCAAGTGCAACCGTTTCTCATGTAATCATCCACATTGGATTATTCTCTTGTTATCAGGACCAAATGATGGTCCTGATTTGGGCGCACAAGAAAGACTGTGTGTTGCGCTGCACCAAATCCAACCCCTTTTTGTGCATGCGCCGATTTGTATGTTGCCAGTATATATACATATATATATATATATATATATATATATATATAACCAAAAATTATACATAATAGTGTATATATTTTACCAACAATTTTATCAAAGGGAAAAAAAAACTAAAACAAATAATACGAATCATATATATAAAATATCCAGAAAATTTCAGAAGCACTCAAATACTATATGTAATATTTTAAGGCCAACATTAACATATATAATAATTTAACCACCATATAATATAACTAATCATGCTACCCATCATTAAATCAACCTTTAAAAATTTCAGAAATTAAAATTAGAAAATCCTAATAGCACATACATGTATATAAAGGATTAAAGCTACATATATACCAACAATAAATGTGATCCCAATAATCTGATTACTAATTTATTTTGATTCCACAAAATAAAATAAAACTATAATTTTGATAATGAAGGTGATAGACTTATGAGCCCTAAGAGGAGAAGTAGAAAAGAACTTGCCTTTTCTTTTCCAAATCTGGTCTCCTCTTATGTTCTTTGATCCGGCCTCCTCTTCATTAGCCCTTCTTCTTCTCTCTTTAATTCTCTTATTTTTCTAACCTGGAAAAACTCATAACCCTAAAGTCTTATGTGTCTATTTATACACATCCAAAAACCTACATCCTTTTCCCATTAGGATTATTATCATATAAAATAAATAATATTTATCTTTTAAATAATATATATACATACATATATTTTAATATAAATAAATAAATAAATATATATATATATATATATATATATTACCTTCCATATATAACCATTAGTATAAATAGATTATATATACCTATATATATCAATATATAATTATATTGACATATATATCCCTCCTCATGATTTAATAATGAATTAATATACACATGTAATTATATAGGTATAATTATGCAAAGATAATTATTAAATATCCTCCCAACCACGGGCCTTTACCAATTAACCCAACAAGGCTTCCTTCAAGCCCAATACCACATCCGTTGGTCCAACTTCCTTTAATCCCAATCCAAATAACTTAAATACCTAAAATAATGAAATTAAATTTAATAGCTACCAATAATTAACAATAAAGTTACACCAACATAAAATCACGCAAATCAAATAAACACTTCACTAACTAGCATTCCACAAATCAAACACCATATAAATTTAACAAATAAAATTACAAAATATATAATTTAATTAAAACAATACAATTTACCTACGCACTTAATTAAATAAAACAAATCACAACTATCAAGCACCTAATTAAATAAAACAAATCACTTAAAAATAATAATAATAATAATATAATATAAATTAATTTAATTAATAAATCCTTTTTAAAATATCGGGGTATTACATTCTTCCCCCCTAATAAAAGGAATTTCGTCCTCGGAATTCACGAATCCATGAAATGAAATTTTGATTATTTGTCCCAAACTTTCATTTTCCCTTATTCCACTGTTTGCCATGTAAGATATTTAATATGTAAATATCTATAATAAAATGCTCACAATTGTGTAAATTACTTAAACACTTAGTGGTATAATATACTAACAGTCAATGATTTGTATATATATGTATAAATATATATCACCATCATAAGCCAAAACCATCCAGATACTAATGAACATGATGCACTTATATCTACTAAGTCATTTCTACATCTACCTTGAAATAAAAAAAAACATACCTCAATTCTTCTGAGGTACCCATGCATTGCAAGGTGTGGCATTGTACACCATACCCTGATGCAACTGCTGTATAGGCTGTCCCTGCGGTGGCGGTGGTGCTGCTAAGGCCGGAAATGTCTGAGCCTGCACACGTGGAATCTGTGGAGTAGGTAATGGTTGCCACTGTCCCTGTTGCCCATGCTGTTTCCGAGCCAACCCAGGACACCGTTTGGCTGAATGCCCATAATCTCCACACTTATAGCAATGACCCCTAAATATACTTGACTGCCCCTCCTGGTGATTACCCTGTAGCTGTCCCAGTCCAGTCTGAGGTGCTCCAGTCTGCTGAGTGGAAACTCCCTCTCTCTGAACTTCTGAAATACCCTTGTGCTTCTTCCAAGGCTGCTGGCCCTGGAATCTACCCTTGTCATTCTGTCGGTTCCCATTATCATTCACTTTCGCAGCTGGCTGATTAGCAAAGTCTTTGCCACCCCGCTTCTCAGCCCTAGTCTGTCTGAAATCCTCATTCAGCTGATAAAGCTGCAGAGCTGCGTCCACCACTTGAGCATAAGTAGTGTAGGCTGGACTACCAGTAATAGCTCTCTTGATAGACCACATCAGTCCCTTGACAAAACTGTTGCGCTTCTTCTCCTCTGTATCCACCTTCTCCGGTGCAAAGAGAGATAAGCGTGTGAACTGCTGTTCATACTCCGCCACTGTCATGTTCCCTTGCTGCAGATTAAGAAACTCAGTCTTCATGGCTGCCCTAACTACATAAGGGAAATACTTTTCTTCAAAGCGTGCACTGAACTCATCATAAGTCAATGCCATCCTCTCCTCTATGGTGGTAACTGACTCCCACCACTGCAGTGCATCCCCAACTAGCTTGAAGGTAGCCAGCATCTGCTTCTGAACCTCCGTGCACTGAACCAAGCAAAGATGTCGCTCAATGTCCAGTTTCCACTGGTGAGCTGCTCTCTTATCCTTGGAGCCCGTGAACTCAGGTGGACTCCCTTTTGTGAAAGAACTCCTGGCCTTCTCCCAAGTATCAGTCTGAACAACCGGTGCTGGTACCGGTGCCGGCTGTACCTGAGGCTGATTCCGAAGTACAGCTGCTACCCCAGCTTCTATAGCCCGAGCAATGAGGCCATTGATGTGAGGAGGATACTCTGGATCCCTGCCCTGAGCCGGAGCCTGAACTTCCTCTTGCTCCTCCTGAAGCTGACCCTCATCCTGAAACCCAAGTCGTTGCCGCTCTTCCTCCATTTGCTGACGTTGTAGGTGTTCTTGCTGCCTACGTGCAGCTTTCCTCTGTCGACGGTTCAGATTCTGTCCTCTTCCAGTGTTAACCATGATGTTAACAAAGAACGACAGACATCAGTACGATTTTAACGGACCGTAAAGGAATACAATGTATCCTAAACTTAAGCTCTAAAGAAACGAGTACACAAAGCGGAATTCACATAACGAAAGACACCCTAGGGACACTTGAACCTGGAGTGCTCTGATACCAACTGTAATACCCCCTAATTTCGGAACACGGGTTGATCAAGTCCGCGCACAAAATCAGGGGATATCAAACCAATTAAAGTATTTAAACAAGCACGGAGTACAAAATGAAATAAAGAATAAAATAAAACGCTGAAGAAATCCAATTAATAGTAAATCCATTAATAACTTCCAAATGGTTACAACTCGGGAATCCCGTAACGCAAGGACCCCTTAACCAAAAGTTACTATTTAGAATTTCAACCAAATAAGTACTAATATCAACTGAAACAAAACTAATATCCTACTTTTAAGTAAATAGAAGGAATGGATAAGTCCTCCAGCTGCGGATCCTCAACTTTGAGACTTGACCTTCTACAACCTGAAAAATAAATCGCGGGTTAAACCCTACGAGCAAGTTCTCTCTACCAAGCCTCTGAAAACCAATAAACAGATCATCTTTACCAAAACCATCCCTAATTAAGCTTTAACTTTAATATACGATGCTACAAATATATATAAATACTTATATATATAGTGCAAGAATCCTACCAGTTAATAGGGCATTAAATTGTCAAAACCACTCACCAATAATTAATTATCAGACATACCTAGACCAAGCCCCCCCTTTTATAATATTCTCATAAAGTAAACCCCACTCACCTTAACTCCATCCTAAACAGTAATTTAGTCATCTAAACATATAGCAATTTAAATATGCACCGACAAATCAACCATGCCTTTTATAAATATATTTATTTATATATTAGCAATTCATCCATGCTTCCTTCCGTATATTTACTTTTGCAATTAATTAGCAATTCAACCATGCTTCCCATATAAGAAATTTAGTCATAACCAATAAGGCAGTATATCAAAACCTTTGGCAACTCACCCATGCCTACAATTCAACCATGTACTAACTTTAAACTTATAGACTTCACATGCATATAATAAGCATGTCCTTAATTTAATAACAGTGTATCTATTACGATTTTAAATCAACCATACCATCCACGAATCAAGTCATACCAAACAAGATTTGTAATATTTAATAATCTTAAATAATATATATACACATATATTTTATAATATATATATATATATATATATATATGTGTATCACACATTTCATACCAATCGTTGACTATTTAAAATCATATCTACATATATATATACATGTATACACCTCCTTTCATTGCAAAAATATTTATTTAAGTGTATTTATACCACTAAATGCTACTAGGTATCTTAGTAACACTCTGAGGCTCTCAGAACATCAAGAACACACCCTCTAATGATTAATTTTAACCCTAACACGCTTAAGATAAATACTGGAAATTCACCGGAGTCTCAAGCAACTTTCCAGGACCTCACACGCATCCCCCCGCGCCTCCACGCGCCACCACATACCCCTAGACTACTCCCACGCGCCTTCACGCGCTTCCCCTTACCGGCAGGCGCGTCCACGCGCCTGCACGCGCCCTCACGCGCCTGAGCCACTCTCGGCGCGTGTGTGGCTTGTTCCTATTGGCCAGCCTTCTGCGTTCTAGTGTATTTGCTTGCACTGGATCATTTTCCTGTTGACTGGACCACATCTATGGTCCAGATTTAATGCGCACACAAATTTTATACAACCGCAACACACTGAATCATCCTACACCCATTATCTTCATCTAACGGCCCAACCTAGCGAGTGCAACCGTTTCTCATGTAATCATCCACATTGGATTATTCTCTTGTTATCAGGACCAAATGATGGTCCTGATTTGGGCGCACAAGAAAGACTGTATGTTGCGCTGCACCAAATCCAACCCCTTTTTGTGCATGCGCCGATTTGTATGTTGCCAGTATATATATATATATATATATATATATATATATATATATATAACCAAAAATTATACATACTAGTGTATATATTTTACCAACAATTTTATCAAAGGGAAAAAAAAACTAAAACAAATAATACGAATCATATGTATAAAATATCCAGAAAATTTCAGAAGCACTCAAATACTATATGTAATATTTTAAGGCCAACATTAACATATATAATAATTTAACCACCATATAATATAACTAATCATGCTACCCATCATTAAATCAACCTTTAAAAATTTCAGAAATTAAAATTAGAAAATCCTAATAGCACATACATGTATATAAAGGATTAAAGCTACATATATACCAACAATAAATGTGATCCCAATAATCTGATTACTAATTTATTTTGATTCCACAAAATAAAATAAAACTATAATTTTGATAATGAAGGTGATAGACTTATGAGCCCTAAGAGGAGAAGTAGAAAAGAACTTGCCTTTTCTTTTCCAAATCTGGTCTCCTCTTACGTTCTTTGATCCGGCCTCCTCTTCATTAGCCCTTCTTCTTCTCTCTTTAATTCTCTTATTTTTCTAACCTGGAAAAACTCATAACCCTAAAGTCTTATGTGTCTATTTATACACATCCAAAAACCTACATCCTTTTCCCATTAGGATTATTATCATATAAAATAAATAATATTTATCTTTTAAATAATATATATACATACATATATTTTAATATAAATAAATAAATAAATAAATATATATATATATATATATATATATATATATTACCTTCCATATATAACCATTAGTATAAATAGATTATATATACCTATATATATCAATATATAATTATATTGACATATATATCCCTCCTCATGATTTAATAATGAATTAATATACACATGTAATTATATAGGTATAATTATGCAAAGATAATTATTAAATATCCTCCCAACCACGGGCCTTTACCAATTAACCCAACAAGGCTTCCTTCAAGCCCAATACCACATCCGTTGGTCCAACTTCCTTTAATCCCAATCCAAATAACTTAAATACCTAAAATAATGAAATTAAATTTAATAGCTACCAATAATTAACAATAAAGTTACACCAACATAAAATCACGCAAATCAAATAAACACTTCACTAACTAGCATTCCACAAATCAAACACCATATAAATTTAACAAATAAAATTACAAAATATATAATTTAATTAAAACAATACAATTTACCTACGCACTTAATTAAATAAAACAAATCACAACTATCAAGCACCTAATTAAATAAAACAAATCACTTAAAAATAATAATAATAATAATATAATATAAATTAATTTAATTAATAAATCCTTTTTAAAATATCGGGGTATTACATTCTTCCCCCCTAATAAAAGGAATTTCGTCCTCGAAATTCACGAATCCATGAAATGAAATTTTGATTATTTGTCCCAAACTTTCATTTTCCCTTATTCCACTGTTTGCCATGTAAGATATTTAATATGTAAATATCTATAATAAAATGCTCACAATTGTGTAAATTACTTAAACACTTAGTGGTGTAATATACTAACAGTCAATGATTTGTATATATATGTATAAATATATATCACCATCATAAGCCAAAACCATCCAGATACTAATGAACATGATGCACTTATATTTACTAAGTCATTTCTACATCTACCTTGAAATAAAAAAAAACATACCTCAATTCTTCTGAGGTACCCATGCATTGCAAGGTGTGGCATTGTACACCATACCCTGATGCAACTGCTGTATAGGTTGTCCCT